GCTAGTTCAAACCCAAATAGACTGATAGTCGATAGAAAAGAATTTTATTTTTGTTACGTCAATTGGTACACCTAGAAGCATGGGCGCTTGCAACAGGATTTATGGTTAAGGGGGATAGGCTTGGGTTATATACTAGTATAGAAATAAAGTCCGCCCGTGCCTAGAAGCACAATATCACGCGTGCAAGTTTACGTTACACCCCAAAACGGCATGCGAAAAGCCGTCTATTCAAGTGTACACAGGGAACTAATACAGTAGTGGACGTTGGGGTCGCTTTATAACAACATGTTTTGCATAAAAGTCGTCAGTTGAAACCAGAAATCACTGGTACTGGCAGTTCAATGACACTGTTGGCAGATATGGCACTGATTAAACAACGAAGATGGGACAAGGTATTTGCGTGTGCATCTTCACAAGTCATTTTGGTATTACGTTTACTACTAAGAAAAAAAAACAATCGGTCGAAACCCAGCGATATGAGTAGTTGCAAGACGAACGCTACTTCGGGTTCTAGCTTCTATTCTATTTCTAAAGCTAGTTTCACATATGAAATATTCACACGAGTCAAACTAAAAGTCAGGATATTTTGTGGACTCTCGAATCACGAAAATTGTTGAGATTTACCTACCTTTAATGTGGCCGCTGGTCCTGTGACTGGCTGGATTTCGGAACTCATGATGATGGTAATTCTTGGAGAGTTTGTATTGAGCTGTTACTCGGTGTACGGTAGATATGTATATGTGGTCCAGTTCAAGAAAAACCGGCGTTAACCGGTGTTGATCGTATGCAGGCCAGGCCGTGTTCGTATGTATGGTTTGAACCAGTTCCCGATGTTTCAAATCGATTTTTATGACACGTCTGCTGTGTCTGTAGATTTACATCTGAAACGTGGGGGATCACTGAACATGCTGAAAGGCTACTAGTATATTGAAGGCCGTCGTCGCCTACACTTGTTTACCTTTTGGGTGCGTGTGTAGTGACTAGTTGGCGAAAGTGGTTCGCTGCTGTCGTACAAGTCGTGCAAAAAAAACAACAACAAAGAGCAATGTTGACACCGTAGATTGAGCGCTAGCCAGTGGTTGACAACGTGATGAATGGCGATCTTACCCCAGATTTAGAAACATAAGTAAATTAGGAAAGGAACGTAACGTCGTTGACTGGCAAAGTCGGGACTTCTTTTTTGTTTTACAAAAAAAAAAAAAAATAATAATAATAAATTGTCAATTTAGTATTTTTAAAAGTACTTTAAACAATTAATTATTTCTTTTTGTAAAACAAAAAAGAAATTCCGACTGTGCCAGTCTAGTAACGTCGCTGATTAAACGTTGCTAATTTCGGAAACTGGGAATGGGCTTGTTAGAAAATATAAAGAGAAAAAATCGCACAACAAAGGGCATTGTCCTGATCGAACATTATTCTTTAAAATTCTGAAAAATGTTGGGTAAGGAGTAGACCATTGGAAACTCCATGGGCGATGGCAAAAATATTTTTGTTCCCTTTTTAGTTTTGTGCTATTTTTTTTCAATGATAAACTCGCTTTAGTTTCCTCTGTGTGCATTATTTTGCCCTAAAAAACAGGAGTGCACATTTTGTAATAATAATAATAATAATAGTCTATATTGAATTCGTATCCTAAAAATGGACATAGATCAAAGTACAATAAATCATGGTTGTCATTCCATTACAAAAACAATCAGAAGAAAAAAAAAAGAAGCAACAAACTTGCCCAAAATCGGTTACAAATGCATATTTATAAAGTAAATATAAGGATTAGATATCTGTGAGGCAGCCGTTTTTTTTTTAATTTGCTTTCTCTTAGGTTGAAACATTCATACATGTAAATTGGTAGACATTTTAGCATGACCGCATTCTTTGTGCATAGTATGTTGATGAAGCTTGCATCAGGGTTTTCCTCAGAACACTGTCTAATTGTGTTGAGAAAGATCTATCTTTCATGTTTGTATAGCTATTTTAACAAAAAATGCTCCTCATCTTCAATATCATTAGTAACGCATACAGGACAGCTTCTTCCAGTAATTTTAATTTTATGGTATTTGCCCATTTCAATTTGTAAAACATGTGCTGAATTACTGTCAGTAGATAATTTTCAAGTCCAAATTCAGTTTAATTTTCTTTAAGCATAGATCTTAAAAGTGTCTTAAGGTCTATTTCAGTTGTTAATACCTTTGTCATTGTTTAGAGATTTTCTAGTTTATTTCTAGTTTGTTTCGAGTGCTGTAGTTATATTATTTATCAGGTATTTGTTTTCATTACTTCTATTTTCCCACTCATGTTCCATATTACGGTAATATCTTTGAGAATTTTTTTAATACAATAAACCCAATTTTGCCTGCCTGAGTTATCCATATTGATTGCCAATCTGTATGCTTCATTTATTTCAGGCATATTGCGCAATCTCAACCAATATTTAGACATCTGTCTGGTACCTAGATATCAGGTACCGTCCCTATTCTAATAAGCTAGCACGGTTTGTGGTCCTGCAGTTTACATTGAGCATGTACAAAATGCACTTTTGTATGTAAATCATTTTTTAAGTGCATACAATTTCTGCCATCGAGTTTCTAATGGTCCACCTCCAAGAGGAACTTCGGCTAACCTTGTTGCCGAGCTTTAAAAGGTTTCTGAAAAAAGTTCTGAAGATGTTTTTTCATAAAGACAACAGTTGCACTCTATTAAAGCAGAGGGGGAAAGCGTTCCAAGCAACGATGACATGCTAAAAGGCAAAGCCTTAAACGTAGGCGCTCGTTTGTAAACAATGACACAATGGCCAACTGCGCAGGTTACGACTCCCTCGTTTTAACACAATTTTATTAGCATTTCCACCTTTTTGTTCAGACTTGTAAAACGCCAGTTTTAATTTGCCACTCCCCAATTACAAATATAAACTTTGTAGGTTTTTTTTTAAGTATCCAAAATGAAATTAATATTTTTTACCAAAAAGATGAATCATGGAAGAAATTAGCATTTGCAAGAATTATGGAAAATTCAATTAGGCAAACACTTTTAGAGGTTTGAAATAGCTATTCAGAATGAGTATACTTGTACAATGTTCCAAGGTATAGAAATTCAACACTATAGTTTGATTATTATACCTCCATGGTTTGATCAAATAGCATTCACACAATAACAAATTTACTTGCAGCCTACTACATTTAAAAATAGCAACAGGACTAGTTCCACTTCAAAATTCTCCAGATTGAAATCCATAGACCTTACAAGAATGTTTCAGGTCCAACTATGTTTATTTTACACCTAAAGCTAGTTTCACTAAGTACTTTGAGCCAAGAAATGGGCAGGTTTGAATTCCCAATGTCCTTGACTAATCAGATTTGGAACCTTTAATACAGCAAAAGTTCCAGATTTGGCAAACTGGTGCATTGCTTGTCCATTTCTGCAACTGTCTTGCCCATTTGGTAATCAATATTTTTATTGGCATCGGGCATTTCTGAACTTCGAACTTGATCGTACTGTTAATAAAATTCTTTCTCAACTATTGAAAAAGTTTACAAAGCTAGGTTCAAACCACTGCTTTATACCATAGACCCTCCAGTACTATTCTACTGCTGATCTGCACTGGCTCAGAAGATGAATTCTGATTGGCTAAAAAAAGAAAAAACTTGTGGCGCTGAATGCACGTTCATTCTCAGTAATGTTATGCAAATTAGAAATTCAAACTAGCTAATCATTTACAACCTTCCGAGCCAGTGCAGATTAGCCCCTATTCTACTGAAGGGTCTATGTTTATAAATCATTCAGGATACAAAAAAGTCACCTCAAATATGTTGAAACAAAGTTTAATATTATGGTTATTACAAATGCATCAATTAAACAGTTTTGTACATTTCAGAAAGCCGGAGTTTACCACTTGTACACATCACTAAAGTTTTTCTTCAAATGTTCTTCAAGTCTGGAAATCAACCCACGTCAGATGTAAACTTCAAAGCAGTCAACAAGTTCGTCACAAATGATTTTTTAAAGATGAAAACTGGCTTTCCAGATGTGAAAAAGTTACTGCAGTATAGTGACCAAACTGACTGCATACTGTAAGTTGAAAATCAAGAATATCACAGCACAAGGGTGATTGAGCACCTTCGACTACTGCTTTGAAAACTGAAGAAATTTCTGAGAAACCAATCTTGATTTACTTCTATGTGGATGCACATTTTTTCCAAGCAGTAACTTCATATTGGCTGTAGTCATTCCCAGATAATGCTTTGAAAAATCAACAGTCTGAATAAATGAACATTACAAGATTGCCATATTTTAACTGCCTGTAACAAACGAGTGAAAAAGGAACAACCTTTTCAATCTCCATGAGCTCATTCGGATAATCTAACAGAAAATACAAAAAAATACAACCTAACAATAAACCAGTATTAAATAGCGGTACTCGTTTTATTATGGAAAAAATTATTTCATTGAAAGTATTGTACCAATGTGTTTCAAAATTGAACCGACTGCAAAAGTTAACAGTGCTGTACAACTTCTCATCTCTTACACACGCTCACATATACACTCATAACTGCTAGATTCATTATAAATATGTGTTACTAAATCTGGAACTAAGTAACTTTGAGGGATAAGAAAATAAACACCAGAGGTGCAAATAATCTGTTGGACTACTGCTGATACTAGGCTTCAAGTATAAATGGCAATGACTAAAGGGGGAAAACAATATCTTGTCGTGTAATATACAGATTTCTAAAAGTAAGAAATGACATAACTAATACAGGGTCAGGGGACAAATGTAAATACAATTTTGGAATATCAAATCTAGTTTAAAGGTCATCATCTTCATCTGGAAGGGCTGTCGCTTGTGCGTGCTGAAAAGGAAATGAGAAAGTATGGATTATATACAAGTTTGTTAGGTATGTTCTTGTTTAAATGGTTGACTTGAAGTTACTATTAACTGGTTTATTTTCACTTTGTACTAACCCATCTTTTTTATTTGAATATATTGAGATTGAACATAAATGTCACCAGACAGCATTAAAGTTGGATGACAATTTTGATTTGACACCAGGGGAAAAAGTTTACTATGCTCGAGTAATGAGGTGTTTGTACGCACAAGTTTTGCCACACAAAAATGATGAATGCACTCGAATTGGCTGAATGTTACCCCAATTAAAAACCTGTTTCAGCTTTCAAGATGTGTTTATATGGTAAATATCCATTAATTAATTGCATTATCACTTGTACACCAGCTGACTGGTTATGACCAAGGAAAAGTATTTTTTTAGGAAATTGCTCATACTTGGCTACCAATTTGGTAAACTACTTTTACATGATCACATCCTGTGTATACAGCAAATGGGGAGTCTAAGACATGTGCCAGACTACATAAAAACATTGTATGTCCCTTAGTGCAATAGAGCGAGGCACAGCCACTAGTTCACAGCCAACTGTTTAGTCAAAACCCAAGCAGTCAGCAAACCGACTGCTTAATTCGCATTCAAAAATTGCCTTCACTAGTGGCCAAGTACGATAATTTGTTGAAATGTGTGAAATCTGCTTCTATCGCTATGAGCATGTCTGCACTTACTTTGAGGTCCTCTTCATATTTTGCTGCCAATTGTGGGTCCATATTCACTTCTGGAGGGGCTAGGGCAGGCATGGCTACAAATTCCAGGTTGGGGTCTCCACTCAACTTCCTTGCTAACCACAAGAAAGGTTTCTCGAAGTTATAATTACTCTTAGCGCTTATATCGTAATACTGCAAAAAACAAAACAAATCATTTCAAAAGACTGCTGTAAACATTATTACCATATTTTATATGCACAACTAATTTAGCAACTTTGTGTAGTTTGAAGTATATCCATAACGATCACTTTGAAGTCCATGTTCATAGTTAGCGATAACAATACAGCTATTTGCACAAAAAAACTGATTGTCAATAAGTTTGCAATTGTGTTCATGTTAAGATTTCTGTTTACAAGAATAACAGAATTTGCATATGCTAAGATTGGTATGCATGAACGAAGTTGAAGTCAACTTTTCACTGGGGAACTTGAGAAAAAGGAAAATGAGGTCTGGGGAAAAGTAATGACACTATTTAGTATCTAGAAGGTGTTAATAACATTGAACACTTATTATCATAACAGGGTTCTGCCCAGCATGATGAGTGCCAGTCGCTATTTAATATTCATTTTTTTTTCATTCTACTAGCTACAATTTAACTACTTTATTTTCACTTTTATTTTAAATATTTCAATGTAAAATTAATCCGCTTTGATAAAAGCGAAAAAATATACACACATTAACCTCTAACCTGGCAGCCATTTTTTTGAAAGCATGTCCTTTGTTACGCCCAAAGTGGGAACAAGAATTTCATTGTTTTCTTTTCCAATAGAATGCTGGTAAATCACATTAAGTGGAAAATAAGTATTCCTAGTATCACTGACTAAATATAGCTTATGAATTTAATTTTATGAAAGTCATGAAGCCAAAAACATCAATGAAGGTTACTACACTCAGTGCAAGTGCAGATTAAACTAACGACAGCTTGACGCATCCCTGCCAGTGAAGCAAGCAAGTTATTGTTCAACTCGACAAATCCTACACACAACTAAACTTGCAATGGTAATCCTTCTGTTTATCAGTCTTCCTTTCAATTATCTTGGATGTACGATTTGAGACTTAAAACTAACAGAATGCCAATCGGAGGTTAAAACAAAAACACATTAGGCCGATGGCACACGCGTACATATTTTCCAATAAACAATCGGTAAAAAATGAAAAAAAAGTTTATAACTTCTTACTTGTAAATTCTTCTTTCTATGGAACGTAATAGATTTTGCTTTCACTTTACGGTCTTTGATATCTACTTTGTTGCCACATAAAACAATAGGGATGTTTTCACAGACACGGACTAAATCTCTATGCCAGTTTGGCACGTTCTTGTATGTAACTCTTGACGTTACATCAAACATAATTATCGCACATTGACCTGTGAAAGAGCAAAAGAACAGTTTAATATTCTGAAAGATACAGATTTTTGTAAACTAAATCTTCAGAAAACATCTTGTATTTTCAGTATCAGTATCACTAATTTAATGCTTTATATCAAAGACATTCGTTTAACATTTTCCCCAGACTTTTGCAAAACAGTATCAAAATGCAAAATGAAGGAGAAAAAAGAAAGACTTGCATATAATTGGACTCATCTTACCAAGACTTTCACAATATGTTCAACAGCATATATATTACCTTTTGCTGTCTAGCAGCTTTCCAAATTATGAATGAAATGAAGATGGACGGCTGTTAGATTAGGCACCACCACCCATCATTGAATTTACACCATACAGATTTGTCAGTGGCCTTTCGATACCAGATTCTCAGGTATATTGAAAACCCAGTTGGAGAGATACCACATCATTACTCTAGCAAACGGGTTCCACTCGCAGTGCAACTGAGCATGCTCAGCAAGTGATCAAGTCTGCATAAAATTTTATTAAAAGCCATACAACATCTTGACAATATAGCATTGCAAAGTATATTTAAATTAACCTTGTATATAGTAGCCATCACGGAGACCACCAAATTTTTCTTGCCCTGCTGTATCCCAAACATTAAACCGGATAGGTCCACGATTTGTGTGAAATAAAAGGGGATGTACTTCAACACCAAGTGTTGCTGAAATTGAAAAGGAAACAAATATATGTTTTACACAAGTTTACATCATTCTGTTAATATGAAGCACCTGTACACCTGTTTCAGTATACAGCGAGACCATTTTCACTATTTTGATCATATTCACTGATCATTAAAAGCTTGCAACTTTGCAAGGAAACTGGTTATACTATATTATTTTACTTATACGGATTTAGTTCAACAGATTTTACTCAACGCAAAACGGCAAAATTAAAACCACTTGAACAAAATTTACTTATTTTACTACCTACCAACATATTTTTTTTCAAATTCACCGGTCAAATGCCGCTTCACAAATGTTGTTTTACCTGTGCCACCATCTCCAACCAGGACTAACTGAAAATAAACGGAAAATAATATTTACAAAAGCATACATCTTGGATGCATGACATGAACAAACTACACAAGGATGTTTTTTTGGTTTGCTAACTTGATATATTGATCATATTACTTTCAGACATCACCAGTCCATAATATAATACCAGAACACAATAGAACAAAACCCCAGTCTGTGTTACAACAAACTCTCCAAAACTAGCTCTATTTGTATAGCAGCTGAACATGCTCTTAAAATCATTATGTTTGCATCACGTTATTTGAATTAGTTTATAGAGTCCATCTTAAACAGCCCTTTCAAATATCGTGTTTTGAATCCTATGTGTGAAGCAAGTACAAAGCAAGATCATTTTTTTTCTCAATAAAACGTGGCCACAACATCAATCATGAAATACAGCAAAACAAAAAAACAGCATAAACTATACCTTGAATGTTGGGACCTCATCTCCTGCATTCTGCTGTGCCATGATGGGAAATTTTGGTTTAAATCACTCGGTTGGTTTGTAGTTCTGTGACAAATGAAAATCAAAAATGTTACATTTCATTCGAAACAATTGATGTTGTGCAAGTAGTAAAACAGATGATTTGCAATGCAAGACTAGTGGCCACAAAAGGGTAGCAGTTATAGTACTATGGCTCTACAAAGAAAAAAAAATAGTGATTTCAATAATATGTAGCATGTTTGAGCAACTATTTTCCGCATTTCAGCCAAACCCCTTTCGTGCAGTGTAGTCGTTGGCTCTTTAGATTGTACAAGTTCCTTAGGGCCTCTTCTCCGTAACTAATAGTAACACTGCCTCTCCATTTTAATTGCACATTACCTTCTTCTGCACATGTACAGCTATCTGGAGGGGCTTTCACAATTACATAGGGTGTTAGGTTCGGGTGGGAGACCCCTTAAGAACCTCTTCTTTTAGACAAAGTAGAGTGGCATGAATTTAATTCAACAAAATTTTCAAAGAATGATGTTTTAAAGCTTATTCAAAGCATATCACAGCAAAAACTTGATGTGTCACATCGTGAGACATTGGCAGACCTATGTCACACTACAATCACCACAACATTGACAGTATTATTGCCAAGCTAGATTGGGCAATGCCTTTTCTGATTAGTCCCCCCTCTCCCCTGACACATACTAATACAAAAGGCTTCAATTTGTTTTAGCTGAACTACAAGACGGACCGTTTCGCACAAGTTTGGGGAATCTGATAATTACGTGTAGAGGATATTACCGTAAAAACTTTATTAATTCACGGTCTCTATTAATTCGCGTACCCATTTTATTTTCGAACGCAAATTTTTAAATGTGTCCTTTTAATTCGTGGCGTTCAAAAACATGTTTAAAATTGTATCCTATTAATTCGCGGACCAGAATAAAGTGGATAACTCAGAATATATTGCATGTAGACATTAAAAATATACATTTTGTTTGAGTTTTTATGTTATCAGTACTTTGTGTAGCCGCAATCGCAGATGATCTCCGTCATCACAGCCTTTCAGTTAGCAAGCAGTTTAGGTTCGGTAAAGATTTGACCTGAAAAAAATCATTCCCCATGACACTACAGATGTTGGGCAAGATTATTACTTAGTCGATAACAAATCTATCGGTCAGCACAACGATTACGAATTTCTGTGGTGGAAAGCTTAGTACAGGGCTTTTTCGTCGCTGGTCCACAGGGTTGCATCGACCATGTGTCCGTCATTATTCTATTATGTCATTTAAGTGAACCGCCCTATGGTGCGTAAATTGACGTTTTTGATTGGTCAGGCGATTGACCTCGTGTCACATTTTCATTCGGTAAAAAACACAGTTAAGCGGTCATGTACGTTCTATAAATCTAACCTTGCACACATAATCTTGTACTGACGTATTTTTTGTCCAAGAAAGACGTTCCTTTTCATTTAACCCCCAGTTAACTCTTCGCGTCCATGGTATTTGTGAGAGTTGAACGATTTTTGAACAAATGACAAGTAACTATATCGATTTGCGTCAAGCTGGGTGGCCCGAATTTAAATATCAGTGCATGAACTCTGGAGGTCATTGCCCAATGCCGCACGTAATTCAAAACTAATTATCATGAAAGCAATACACATTACGAAATTGAAATATTCAGAGCCGGTACAATATTGTAAACAAATTTGCGTAATTAGAAAAGCAGTGCACTAAGTAAACAACGTTGATATATTCAAAGCCAGTACAGAGTTACATACAAATTGCGTAATTACAGTACCTTCGGATATAATAACAATTTTACTAGATTGACGCGCGGGGCACGGAAGAAAAAGGTTGCTAAGGTAATGCGCCAGTTCAGTGCGCGACTTGGGGTCAAACTTCGGTCAACACACACTTGATGTCAGCATCGCCGTGCAGCAAGTTTCGCAAAGAAGTACTTGAAGTTCAATTGCGTCCCAAAATGATGTCGCTGATCACTCAGTTGTCGCAGCGTGTCTTGTGTCATGTCCATGATGCACCCAGTTTCGACTTTGGCTTAAGTTTCCTTCTTGGTGCATGTTCTTGTTCACGTAAAATGCGACCTCTCACCAATGTATTGAAACGCTTTGAATTTATACTTTGCATGATTATATTTGGTCAACGCGAAACATAATTTTTTCTAAAAATTTTTGAGATCATTTTTATCAACACAGGGTTATTTTTTCAGACAAGATGGGCTTCGCAATATCTGCCATAACATCGCCCGGGCGTTGCCTAGAAAAATAAAAAAAAGGCAGTGCAGCCAGACGGCTACTTTGTTGCCACGTGTTCATTGTTTTTTTGTGTACAGAGTGACTTTTGCCATTTCACCGTTTCATTTCAAGGGTAACATGGTGCGTGGTCCTTGACGCAGTGCGTGTTCTCTGCCCGACTATACGCCATTAATGTTGATAGCCACGAGTCTCAGAGGCACTAAAAAAACGTCCTGTAATTGTGTTCATTGGAAAACAAAACAAATCACTAATAAATTTATGAATACAGCTCCTTTTTGAATCTATCTAAAAGTACTCTTAATTCGCACACCAAAAACCAATAATTTCCATTTTTACGCTATTAATTCGTGCACTTGAAAAAATAATTATTTTTACTACTGCGAATTAATCGAGTTTTTACGGTAAGTCGCTTTAAAATACTATAGACTACTGTATGTCTAACATCTGATCAACTGCAGAGATGCAAATTGTGTCCCAGAGCAGTACGAGCATAGAAATAAGACTTGTTTCACAAGACATTTACAGGAATAGGGGCAGTCAGTCTTATTGAGGGTGCTCCACCATCTGCATTAAACCAGTGACCAAAGCCTTTGCAGACAGACTAGCCAATCAACAAGTGTGCTCACATGCATCAAATCAGGAACCAAAATCTTTAATTGTTGATGAAGTTTGTGTCATCCACTTTCTTGGAGAAGTGTTAGTCTTTAGTTTTTCTTAGTCTTGCCATCGAATATGAAACGTTGATCCACAAGCAAGATCCAATATGGATACCCCGATCATCAAAATAGAACAGAATGCCCAAATGTCTCTCTTGCTGCTGTGTTAGGGTCTTAAGAGAATATACGGTGTACCAGAAAGTCTATTAACAGGACTGTCCGGGTAGGCGAGCACGTAACACGCCTTATTCTACACCAATGGTGATGATAAAGGTCTGAAAGTCAGAGTCACAAAACAACGATTTCTTGTAAATAGACAAATTCAAATGGTAAAATAAAAATGAGAAACTACATTTTTTCAAATTATTAATTTAAATTGATAATCAGAACTTAACGCCCTGGTTGTTCGGATTTATCTGCGTTGCACTGTACAACCGTCTAGACAATACCGGAAATGGCCTGAACATCCCCATTTCAAATAGATGTGCGGGAAAATGTTTGTACGATACGTAGGGTTACCTGTACGGAAATGAAATTGAGCGAAATGAGAGACGATAAAACAATACATAAATGTATTGTTTCGGCAGAAAAAATATTCAGTATCGTGTCCTGAACACTGTTATACAGAATCGAAACGTCATTTTCATTTGAGGGCAATGCATTTTGAATTTTAGTGACAGAACAAAGGGCCAGAAAGAAGCCCTACAAAAAACCCTTAGCTGACGATAAGCAAAATATTACCATAAATAATTTTTCAAATAACTAGCGACTCTGACCAGCATGAAAACAGGAGATGCCAAAATAGGATGGTAGTGATACTGCAAGATAAATAACATGCTTACCACGTTGATGTTGTAAAGATGGCGGAGTTAGAAAGAGCAATTTTATGCAAAACCAGTTTGAACTAGAAGTGGTCACCTGACTAAATGGCGCGCAAAAATGAACTTGCTATTTTTTACGACAAATAAAAAGGGAGTATGGGGAAATACTTACTGAACGCATGCAGTTACAAAAGGAAACTTGTCAACACTTGGGAAGACAATTTTAAATTAATTTTGAGAGAACTGTTTTTTTGCAGTGTCACGACCTTAAATCACGTGTTGGTCACATGAAGGAACATAACTATTCTCGCTTGTCAACGGGGTTGAATATTTTGTAAGGCGAGAAAATAGATTATTCAACCAATCCCAATCTCTGACATAGCGATTAAACATTGAGCAAACTACCTGGTTAAAGTATATTCTACGGTGGTCCGCGCTCTTGACGAATATATCCCTCTACAGCGTTTGGGTTTCGGTGCACACAACTTTCTTTGTCGTCACTGAGAAGTGACCTGCGCAGTAGCGAGATATTCTGACCGATGAGGGCGTGTGGGAAAATTGCTTGTGATTGGTTCAATTTTAATGGGTGTTGGGGATTTCAGGTGGAAATTGTACCGCGATTTTAGCGTTTTTTCGAAGAAAAAACAAACGTACTTTCATGTGTGATCGACTTTTGTGGATATAAGGTGCCGACTGAAGACAATTCAAAATGAAAGATAGGCTGCCAGCGCTGAAAGCGGTGAGTTGAAACGCCGTGTTTCCACAGATGTCAGTGATGGAAATCGTATATTTCGCCTCAAACATTGTCAGAATGCACGAACTTGCTGGCCCAATGTCCTGATTTCATGTCGATGTATTTTTCTCTCCACAGTCACAAAGCGATGAGGATGACATGCCAGACGATGTCGCCGTCAATATGGACGATGGTCGGTTCATGGAAGAGTTTTTCAAAGAGGTAAGCGATGGTATTTCACCGTTTCATTGAATATTCAGGGGGGGGGTTGATTCAATATTCCCCGATGCATCGTTTTATCATTGTAATAAGGTGGCCCCATATAACATTAACATAATTTCTGTATATCGTTTGCGGTGGAGCCCATTAGCAAAACGGATTAAGATACTCCTCAGATTTTTTTTAGCCTGCTCAGTAATTTATCACTGAGCAGTTTTCAATGTGATTCTAACTTTAAATCACATTGAATTAAATAAATGACTGACATTTTATTTAATGTTTTATTCTGTCCACTACCTAGGTTGAAGAGATACGAATTCACATTGATCAAATACAATCAAACGTAGAAGAAATGAAAAAGAAACATAGCAAGATCCTAAGTTCTCCTCAACCAGATGAAAGTATGTCAAAAAAAAATTCTTTTAATATTGAAATTGTGATTTAGATGATATTATTTAAAGAAAAATCTCCATTGTTGCTTTGGTCCTATTCTACATACACGCGTACATTTCAGTAAAAAAATGTAAGTGTATCTGTGGAGTATTCATTCTCAGTGAAGAGGAACATAAATTAAGTGGGTAGGGAAAGCAAAATCTGATTGCTGTTTTTGTTTCCCCTTTGAGGTAATTTTCACTGAAAAGAAAACTCCCATACATGTTTTGTGTGTCTGTGTGCAGTGTTAATTTCATGATGAACATGAGATGAATTTTGATGAATTGCACGTGCTTGAAAATTGACAGTTCTTTTGCTGAAAAAAAACACACACATTAATTAATTTTAAAAATTAAAGAATAGGGTGGGAATTTCTAACAGTTTTTAAATCTTATATTTAAACAAAGTTGAATTAATTTTTGAATTACTCCACAATATATATATATTTCTAGTCTGTATACATATATATCCATCCAATTACAGGACATAAAAACTAAATGACATGGACATGAGAATATGAAGTATGAGTAACATGTGTATCTCATATATATGAAACAAAATTTGAGCAACCCTAGAATAAAACAAAAACGCTGATTCTGCTTTAAATGTTCCTCTTGATTTAGAAGATGTTTTTAAATATGTATTCAACATCAATTGTATTATGTCCCTGCACTAAAGGGGCAAATTCATTTATCCATTTATATACCAACAAAAGTATGTTTTCGTAAGTGAAAATATCTATTTACCCTGCCCACATTGTCTTGCCGTCTCAGGCCGTAACAGCTGCTACATGCCCATATTAGTTATGTAGCCTATACCTGCCATGACTTGACCTTGCTGTATCCAAGAATGAGGATATGACAGGAAAAAAGTGAAATATTTATGACTATCGCTAGGTAGATATTTTTATTATCTCGCTATAATAAATTGTAATCGTTAGTGTGTTTTTTTAAACAAATTAGCAGTACTGTAGTACTAACCATTTTTTTAAATTAGAAATGCTACTTTATGTTGTACTTTTTCAAATTTGTTTTTTCAAATATCAAACATGGTGTATATTTAATAATATAATGTTGTCGTTTTTTCTTTCTTCCTTTTTTAGCAAATAAGGCCCTTATTAATTTTGTAAATTATTAGTGTAATTGATGTCTTTTTCATTGAAAATAGTGAATTGAATGCATATTGTACTCAATGTTTTGGCATGTTCCATTTACAAACTGAGGGGTGGAAGGTCCACTATTTCATTGTATCGTGAGATTGACGTGTACCCATAGCAATCCCTATCCACATAATGAAAGATGCACATTTCATAATTTATATTAACTATATATATTTATTTAAATAAATTGATTAATATTGCTATTATTTATTATAGATTTTTACTAAAATTTATTTGAAAACCCAGACAATTTTGTGAAAAATCTGACACATTCCATTGAATAAAAGATGCAAACAATGCAATACTTTGTGTTGACAGATGTGATAGCATTAGAAATAATATAGACGGGCAGTGAGGTCATTTTGTGCCATTGTCTTTGATACATAAATATATATATATATATATATATACATGACATAGGTTGTTTATGATTTGTAGCCCGTATTGCATGCAATATGACGGTTACATACCCTAATCATGTTGGGCATCGTTACTATGACAACCGACTAAATTACAATTGTTGTATATTCATATATTAACACTATATATATACAAATGTAGTTTCCAGAGATTTTAGAATTTAGATTGCCATGGCGATGAAGAAAGCATAGTGTACATAAGAGGAGAAATTTGCTTTTTCAAATTAAAGACCCAAATCTATAACCAAGGGCATAAATGCTTAGTTTGATAAATATGAAATGAAAAAAAAAAACACAACAGTTTTTAATCTTTTCTGTACCTTCTGTTATTGTCTGCATAATCCTATCGTTTTAAAAAAAATTTGGTGCAATAGACGAGACAAAATTATTCCAAAATATTAACACATAATATGCATAATACTCCAAACTCTCTGTTTTCAGTGTAAATCAAATTCTAGAGATTTCATGGATTACATGTACCATTAGATTTGTCTTTTATTTTTATTTTGAGACGAGTGAAGGTGCTATTTGTGATACAGGTAATAACAATAATAATAATAATAATAATTAATGATAGTAATTATAGTTGTGATCATAAAATATGTACACCATGTGCAAATTTGAATACAGGAATTTCACTAAAGTTAATTAAATTAATGTGTGTTGTCATTATTTGCAAAATACTATTCATCATATCAACAACTCATAATACAATACAAACCTGGTGTCTGGCACTGTGATAATCAGTTCTATTTTAATCTTAAATCAGAAATTATATTATGCGGGTAGTAAAGTTTTATGATTTTATAGATTTATATTTCAAATCACATATTTGTGTTCATAAGAATGGAATGACATTTGTGCATGAACTTTATGTTTTGGTTGAGTGGATTTTTAGCTTTTGTATTCCCAATATTTTACTAATAATTTAATATCCATATAATTCAATGTAGTTCCATATAAAAGAATGATCATTTTTTTTTTCTCTTTTGGTTTTGTCTTTACTGTTGGCATAGTTACAAATGAGGTTTTATTGCTGTGTTCTGCATGATTTTGTTCAAACTGATGGCTTTTTACCAAACGGAACTCGCATACAACCTATGGTACTGAACAGTACAATTTACTTAAAATTTATACATACATGTTGAATGCAGTCAATGACTTATTGATCGTCGTCAGTTTGAATCCACATTGATGTTTTAAAGAGGCCATAATTAAATGTATAGTATTTTAAAAATATTTTTGTTTGATATTCCGTGTTAGTGTACATACACTCACTGCATTAGCATTAGAAGTATTCATAAAATGACCTTTAACCATTTGAAGGTTATAATTTTTTCTACCAAAATTGTTGTGAACACATTTTGTGAACTTTTATATAATTTTTTATAATTATTTTGTTGTTTGGATTGTACTGTGAATTTTTTATTGGAATATTACTTATTTTGACCATAAAAAGATGCACTACTAATAGAGCAAATATGGTAGCAATATTTTAAAATTATTCATTAGTTCTTGATATGAATACCGTAATATGTTGGAAGCATCACAAACACCAAAAAAATCCATATTTGTATATCAACCAAATTATCGACTCACAAAATAATAACATTTTTGTTTTTTAAAACAAACAAATAAATATTCCTAGACTCAGGAAACAAGCAAAAGAAGCATATACAAAATTATCGATAAAACGAAGTGAATCTGAGTGTCATTCTCCTTCCATTCAAGAAAGATTTATTCTTACCCACGTTTTCCACCCCCACAATAATTACGTATCTTGTTCATGTCCTTTATTTGGCACCCACATAAATGTCATTGTCACTTATTCAATCAAATATCGAAATCCGTGGGTAGCGATGAGTGTGATAAGATTTCCTCATTTTTTTTATAGTGATGTCCTTGGATGACCGATTAGCATGATTGTAAACTTTGGTATTATATGGCTTCCCGAACTCGTAAATATTTTAAAACATGGGTAACCGATTGCCCACAGATATTTTAAGGCTAAATAAAGGCCAAGTGATCAGTCATCAACGAATCATCCTGTGCTTTTGAAATGATTAAAGAAAGTTTGATATTTGAGTTAAAGTCGCAAAGAACTTGGGTGTGCTTGTAGTCTGTTGGTGTTGGTAGTGTTTCAAGGTGTTTGCTTTTTTTAGTTTTTAGTTTTGCAATGTTCACAATGCTTGGGAAGCAAGTTGTATTGTCAGCAAAATTTAGTAGAATAATCTTTTTATTTTCAGTAACTTGCGCAAGTATCTAATCTGAAAACAACGCTAACATTTGTGTTGTTTATTGACTACATTATTATGGTCTTCACTATATCAAATCGTGTCTTGCGATGCCATTCAAATTCCGCTTTGGGCGCTCACTAAACACAACGAACCTCGGTAGTACGGTAATGTTCGAAATTCATTTGAATGGAGTGGTAACATTCGGAAAATAGTTGTTCTAAATGGCTCAACAGGAAATAATTCAACAGTATGAGTCACATGTCCAGCTAATCATAATGAACATTGTTTCACATAGAATTTTTTAATAGTCCATCTTCGTTTTTCTTTAATTTCTTCATCAATTTTGGAACTGATTCACATGGTATGTTTTATGTATGACTGTATATTATAGTTTTATTGTGATAACAAAAGTTTTATGCTTGTAATAAGAAACACAAATCTGCTAAAATTTATTATTTCAAACCCAGTGTGTGTCGCGTGCCTTTCTGAAAATATTTAAAATAAATAGTATTGTTCATAACTTGAATTGCTAAACTCAGGTATTGCAACATTGTAATTGTAAAAAGTTGCAAGTTTCTGTGATATCGTTCTTAGACATGTTTGGAAAGTTTCATTTTTCCAGGAAAAGCTTCTAATTGTATAACACCTGTATGGCTGTGATTTGGCTCGAAGTATAGCCACTGTACTCTATAGGTCGGAACAATTCACGAAGTCGGAAAGTCTCATGTCAAGATTGACATTTATTGAACTTTGAAAAGGAAACATCAACATCGGCTTGAAACAAACGATAACAATGGCACGAGGACCTCAAGTGTCACATGACACAAAACTCAAGTTGTGATTGATCGGTTCTAAACCAATCACTGATCGCGGTAATAACGTCATAGGTCAAATACAACTTGTATGATATAATAGGAATATGAATAATCTAAACTAAACATCAAAACTATTGCTGAACAGAAATAATACAGCGAATTGAATATTAATTATAGAAAACATTTTGAAGTTTAACTAGACAATTCAAACTTAATTAACAAACACACCTATGATGTGCATCTCGCCCCAATAACATGTGTAAAGAGGATCTCAGATTTATCAGTAGATATCCTTTTCTTTGACATTTGAAATGTGTATTTTTTCAATTTCACATCTGC